ATTTGATTATGAAATCTCTAGATTCACATTTGCATCCGATTATTATGTTAGATTTTGGATTGGATGTGGATTTAATCCACAACCATCTTATTGTGTTTAAAATGACCAAAATGTTAAAAAGATTTTAAAAACTAATTATTTTTAAAGCGTATATGTATACTAAATGTATATAAATGTAAAATCTTAAATTTATCAATTATGAACAATATAATTATACATAATATCTATATGTATACATAATTATACTACATATATACATAAAATAATAATTTTTATTAGACTTGGCCATTAGTCGGATGAAATGGAGTTAAATCTGCATCCGATTTGACTATTAACCGGATGTAATATCTAACATCCAAATCCAAGATAATTGAATTTGGAGTCGAATAAGGTATTGGACTTTGAGAGTCCATTGATATCTCTAGTGGACAGGGCCCAAGCTAAGTAACCCCTAAGCTCGCACGGACAAGCCTATCCCTATCCTAGGCCTAGACAAATATTATTACGCTTAGGGTGGGTTCGGGCTAGGCCAAGGAACCTTAAAAATTGTTAATACACTATCAAAATCTGGTCTAAGATCTTTTATTTATTTATTTGGTTCATTAGGCTACACAAATGGGGGTGAGCCATTGCCTATAGCTCATTCAGTTTCAATATTAATATTTTTTATCTAAAAATAGTTAAAAACAAAAAAAAAAAGAGCATGCATGGGTTATATTTGGTTTGGTTTAGTCTAAACATGAATGTCACATTACTCTTGGGGTGCAACTTAGGGGGTTGGGTTGGGTTGAGGGTTAACCAAAACCCAACTCGAAGTTTTAAACCTCAAGCTTGGGCTTAGATTAATTTAATTATGACTACAATCTAATTTTTTATATTTATTAATATTTAAGTAGTATTTAAAAAAAATATATTATTTAATCATTAATAAAGTAAAATAAATAAAATAGAACACTAATAGATAATTACTAAATTAATTTTGTAACAAATTACTAAAATAAATATTAATTATTTTAAACAACATTGCATTCCTTCCTTATAATAGTTATTAGCTTTTGTTGTTTCACTTTCCCTTGACTAATCCTATGCATCGCAACGGTCCCCACTAGTAATATTACAAAACCACATATACTTTAAAACTCATATAACTTGTAATCAAGTGTTAATTGCAGCTAGATTGACTTAAGAAGCATAAAAAAAGAAGTTGTAATATTTACTTTATCTTGTTGTGTTTCTCCCTTGTCCTTCTTCTAATATGGGTATTATTTGCAAACAGACACAAAAAAATGAGTTGCAAATTAACCTTTATTTATTTTTGGTGTCGGAAGTGTATTAATACTTTTTTCATCTTCATCTTCATTTGATTGTGCATATTTTCCCAAGAGTAGAGTTTGGTTGGCCAATTGAAAAAGATATGGACATTATTGACAATTTTTAACCTTGGTTTTTTCTATTCACTAGCAAAAATAAAAATTGTCAACATGTAAGAATCGAGTTTGTTGCTGGAGTAACACAATTTAGCTCCACTTTCCCCATGAAATTTTATTGAAGCTTTTCTCCAATTCCTATGGCATTATCACTTGTGTACGTACCAGCTGAATTTTTTGCTCTTTAATTATGATGGTTTAAATCGTTGCCGGCAACAATTTCACATGACATTATCATAGCGAGTGATCACAAAGTTTTTTTTATGGAAATCTTACATGGCAATTTCTTCTTTGTGCCCTGGGTTGTTCATTACATCTCATCTTAAAAATCAAAGAGTAATGTTGTTTCTTTTATTTATACTTTTCGGAAGGCCAACAAACTTGCTGACTCTTTAGCTAATATAGATACTGAGGAGGTATTTGTAATGTTTATAAATAGAATTTGCAAAAAGTTGACTCAATCTACGAACCCGACCCGATCCAACTCAGAACATACAAGAGGGTTAGGGTCTCATATATATTTAGTTACCTGAATGTGAGAATGTTCCGACCTAACCTGACTTAAAAAAAAATTGACCTGATTGATATATCTAATTGGAATTATTTATGTATTGTTAGAAGTTTCCACTCTTTAGTCTTTACTTTTCATCATTTACTCTTTTGAATTGTTGAATATTCAAGTTTTTTATTTTATGTTTGGAATTTTAAAGTTAATTCCTTTAATTTTGACATTTTCATGTATTTTTTTTTTAATTTCGGTTATTTTTAGGGATGACCCAAATTGACCATGGATCAATCTTGACTCAAACATTTAGGGTCAGGGTATAACATCTGCCGGCCCGATCCAAAACCGACCTAAAGTGTCTTGACTCAACCGAACCCGACCCACACAACCCAATTGCCAAGTCTATCTATAAGCACCTTACTAAGCTACTGGGCAACACTTGTGAGAGTCAAAACGCTTTTGAAGATCGTCTTGGTTTCTCCAGATCAAGAATAAAATGGTAATTTTTTTCTTTTCTTTGTTCTTGTAAGGCGGATAGAGTTGAGATTGTGAGAGAGTGTTTTGTTTTGATAGCGGTTAATAAATTGTGACGGGTAGGGACGTAGGGTTGAGATTGTAACGGGTAGTCGGGTAGTATTTTGGGCTTAGGCCAATGCGGGGGCTGCCTTGTCTCTCATAGTTACACATATTTTCTTTTAATAACAGTTAATAAAATTTAAGGTGACCATCCCTCGGTAAAAAAAAAAACCTTTATTATTTTAATGGGATTAATAATCCTATAAAACATGCCAATAAAATTAGTTCAGTCGTGTAACTAGACATTTTGCTTGACACTTTGTCTAAACAGGTATATTTGATTCCTTTTGGAAAGTGTAAATACAAATTTTTACAGTATAAATACAAGGTTCAAAAATATTATATATATGATTTTACATTTAATATATTTATATTTGTCCTTTGCTTGTATTCCATGTAAAAAAAGCGTAAAATTTGCCTATAGGGTTTAAATGAATACCTGATTTAAAGAATTTACGCTATATTATTCAAATTTTGACAAATTCTCAACTCGAGCCTCCCCAAGTTGCAATTTTACTCAAGGATGGTTAGAAGTGAAGTTATTCTTAGATGAAAAATTTGTTTTGACATTTAATTCAATTTATTATATTTATGTAGGGATTTTTAAATAACAATTTTGGTTGCTGAACTGAATGAGTTATTACATTCCTTGAATAGTTATATAGTGAAATGTTTAGGTATAAAGAAATAACTCTCAAATGCCACTCAACAATTAAGGAGCTCGCAACCAATTTAATGACTTAGAGGTTGCTTGGGACCAATGCCTTTCATGACCGTTTCGTTTCTGTGCCATATCAGCAAATAAATGGAATCGGTAAAAAAAAGGCAATTGGTAGCCTTATTTGAAAAAAATAAAAAAAAATGTTTTTGTCAGAGGTTTATTGAAATTCTAAATTTTTGTTTCCTGAATTGCTTGAGTGATCTTGAAAATCACCCTGGTGATATGGCACATTGCAAATTGAAAAACCTGACAATTTTTTGAGATCTTACAGAACTGTCATTATAAATATATCATAATATTAAGCCAAATCACTTTAAATGCCCAATCATCTTGCATCTCATTTTTTTTTTGTATTTTTCAAAAAAACAGATAAAGCGAATCACTTGAGAATCAGGGCCCATTTGTGAAACGGAACGGTTGTAAAATGCACTGGGGGAAGCTTCATACACTTCCCCCAATGGTTGAGCGTTTATTCAATGTTCCATTGTTGTGGCGCCTAATTGTCTATAAACAATTTATCAAATACTTTTTTCGGTTGTAAAGACAAATCAAGTACAAAAGGTTATTTAATAAACAGAAGGTGTACAAAACACATACTTAATCGTCAAAAGACAAAGAAATAAAGTTAACAATTCATTCACTTCAGCTGTAAAATCTTTTATAAGAGTAGAAAGTAAGTGCCTGTTTGGGAGTGCTGAAGAACAATGGCTTTCAGCCTTTTAAGGTGAGCCTTACACAGACAGCTTATAAGTTATATTTGATGAAGATCAAGCGGCTCTCAGTCAATCATTTCGCTTCAGCCTCTTTGCAGGCCTGTTTGGGAAGGCTGACCTGAAACATTCAGCTAAATTGGTTCAACTTCTTTTAGATTCTTTGGATAAGCTTTCTAAAGAGGTTGAAGTAGTAGATAGTCCAAAAAATAGCTTAGTAATAGACAATTTGGTCTTCTTTTTCATTTTTCACCAAACATAGTTTAAAGGCCTATCCGTGTAGGAATAAGACTCAGCCCAAAAATCAAGAAACTGCTCCAATGGGCATCAATTAACTTGTTAAGCACATTTTAAAGCAGCTGAACCAATTTAACTGAATCTTCATCTCAGCCTTTCTGAACGGAACCTAAAACACGTTCCAACACCCCTACCAACTTGATCTGACCCACCATCCTATATGAGATGTGCGTATCAGATTCATTGGTCGGGTGTTGGAACGTAATTTGTTGGCAGGTGATCCGGATTCACCAAAAAACGGCCCAGAATTCTCTAGAGTCTAAAAAGTAGAAATGAATCCATATGCTGCACATGCCCTGTGCTAGCATTTGTTAGTGCATTTGATTTGAAGTTCTCACCTAAAAAAGCTTTGTTCAAACCCAAAAAAAAAATTGTTTTTAAAAACGATCCGATTTCTCTTTTCTTTGCCGTGGGTTCAAAGCTCCAATAAATAAAAACAACTAAATAGGGATTTCGTCAAGGATAATACGTTATCCATTTCGGTCCCCACCTGCAACAAATCGAACCAAAATGCGGTTTCTATCCCGGTTCAATTGAACCGGATCGTTGACTCCAGTCAGTCAATACATCAATTCACTCCGAAATTTCTTCGTTTGAGGACACCCGTGGCCCGTGGGCCCCCTCCAAATGGGCCTAGCAACGAAACGTGAAAGAAACTCATACAAAAGGCCCAGAGAAGTTTCCCGAAATATGCGACAAACGTTCCGCGCCTGCCACGTGTTCAAGCGGGTCTGAACGAGTCTTCGAGTTCATCTCGCCAATTTCCTCTGCAGTCTCCCCCTTTAAACTGACTCCATCCCTGATTCCCACTCTGAAACCCCAAAAACCTCAAAATGGCGTGTCTGGAACCTGCTCCGTGCGGTTCCCTCTCTGAAACTGACCCACCGAACCCTTATGCTTCCTCTGAATTTGATTCTGTGCCTCTTCCTACTTTCGATCCTGATTTCTTCTCCGATGATCTTACCTTGCCGGAGGATTTCCTCACCGATCTAGGGTTTGATGGAGACTTGGATTTCCTGGATGATATCGTTATTCCTCCCTCGGACGAGGATTTTACTTTGGAAGATGGCTCTATAGCCTTGTCCTTGGTGTCGGTTGATCCAGTCGCCGTCCCCTCATTGTCTCACGAGTCGAAAGCCGACGGATCGGGTGTCTCGTCTTCGTCTTCCCCGGATTCGGACGACCAGAGCTTGGATGTTGCTAGGATTTTGAGTTTTCCGTCGCCGGAGACGGGTAGTTGTGATCGGGAATTCTGTGAACCAGTATCTTCCGCGGATTCCGCTGGCTGTAGGTCAAGTGTGGCCGGGGAGAAGAGTTTGAATGCTTTGTCGCCAGATTCTGGTAGTTGCAACGGTGATCAGTCGGGATGCGCGACGTCCTCCCCCAATTCAGGTGACATTCGGGTAGATATCTTTGCCGATCAGAAGATTAAGTTGGAGGAGGTTGGCAACGTCTGTTTGGCGAAAAGGAAGAAAGATAAAGACGACGGGAACAGTAACCCTAAAAGCAGTAAGTTCCGCAGGTCGGAGGACTCAAAGACTCCTTACGTTTCAAATGCTCTTAGTGAAGAAGAGGAGAAAAGGAAAGCGAGGTTAATGAGGAACAGGGAAAGTGCCCAACTTTCTAGACAGAGGAAGAAGCATTACGTCGAAGAGTTGGAAGACAAGGTAAAGTCAATGCATTCTACTATTGCGGAATTAAATGGCAAGATTTCGTTTATCATGGCTGAGAATGCTAGCTTGCGCCAACAATTAGGCGGTGGTGCTGTCTGTCCGCCGCCGCCTCCGGGCATGTATCCTCATCCTGCGATGGCTCCCGTGCCTTATCCCTGGGTTCCTTGTTCACCTTATGCAGTGAGACCTCAAGGATCTCAAGTTCCTTTGGTTCCAATTCCGAAATTAAGACCGCAGCAACCGGTATCAGCGTCCAAGGCTAAGAAGTCTGAGAGTAAGAAGGCTGAGAATAAAACTAAGAAAGTTGCAAGTGTTAGTTTACTGGGTCTGCTGTTTTTCTTGTTTTTCTTTGGAGGGTTAGTTCCGTTTGTCAACGTTAGATTTGGAGGAAGCAAAGAAACGCATCCTACTGGGTTTGATTTTTCTAACAACTTCCAAGCTCATCCCCGAGGGAGGGTTTTGACAGTTAGAGGTTCTGCTAATGGGTCTGATAATAGAGTAGGAGTAGGCTTGTATGATGGGAAATCAGCTTTTGACAAGGTTGGTGATAGAAATGTTAATTGTAAGAGAGGTAGAGCTAGAGAGGCCGAATCAGAGATCAAACAAAATAAATGGGAATCACAACCTTTGCCTGGTTCAGGTAGCTCTGTGCATTTAGGAAATGCTAGCGAGCCTCTTGTTGCTTCACTCTATGTACCGAGAAATGATAAGCTAGTGAAGATTGATGGCAACTTGATAATTCATTCTGTTATGGCTAGTGAGAGAGCTATTGAATCTTCTCGCGCAGCAACTGGAACAAAGAGTGATAAAACATCTGGGCCTCTTGTGGGTGAATCTAAAGAAACTCGTCTAGCAATTGCGCGCAGTTTGGCTCCAGCACTTTCTCTTTCTAACCCTGGGAGGCACTCAGACAACGATCCACGCCTATACAGGAGCCTCAGTGAAAGGCAGAAAGCACTTGGTTCTGGTCCTGGAGATGCTTCCAAGAAAAACTCAAAGTCAGCTACATCTGATGGGTCATTGCAAGAATGGTTCCGTGAAGGCCTTGCAGGTAATTACTATAGCCGTCCATAAGACATTCTATATTGGCTAAGTGTGTGTTTAAATTGCTTAGTGTTTATGATTTCATGCAATATTCATGATTTTTTAAGTACTTTCTTGGTGGGTATTATCTCTAATCTGATCGGAGAGTACTATTGATAGGCTTAGGTGATAATGTAAATTGTAGTTTGTCCATCATCTGATCTAAGTAGGCCTCTGGTTCTTGTTTTTTTTTTTTTTTTCCCGATATATAATTGTACTATGCAGAAATTACATAAACAGTTCAACAAAAAGGGAGGAGTGTAACACTGACACTTTTCCTCCCCAAAAGATTTGACCTCCCTAGCCATCAAATGAGCCACCGTATTGTTCTTTCTATTTACATAACAAAAGGTTATAGAAACAAAGTTTGAAACACAAGGCAAAATATTATTGAGAATATCAAAACACTTCAAAGAAAAATTAGGGGAAGATCCTTTGAATCACCGACCCATGTACACGAGAGTCAGACTTTATCAAGATCCTGGAAAAACCTCTTTTCATAGCAAACAAAATATCTTTGTAGATAGCAAAAAATTCCACTTCCACAAGTCATCGCAAATCAGCGCAAATCAGCCATGGTCCTCCTGCTGCAGCAATAAAAATACCTTCATTAGAAAAACAAGTAAACCCAAATGAACCCAAAGAATCAGATGTCACACCTTGATCACAAAAGTCGAATACACAGTCTCCAGTAGGGGCTGGATTCGAACCAACATTACCTACCTTTGCCGGAAAGACAGAAATAAAAGATCTGGCTTTTTTAAACACCGACCAATCCACAGCTGCCTTACTGATTCTATCCATAACTAACCCCACATCTACTGTTGTACCTTAAATCAGACTATCATTTCTCATAATCCAAATATTATGACTAATAATTGAAGCCAAGACAAAAACTGAACCTGTTCAGCAACAGAAGAGCTTCTGACAGAACCAATTAGAACCATAAGCAACCCACTTGGTTTAGTAAATAACTAAATATGCATACACATAACAGAAGATATATGTATCATGGATTCATGGTATCAATATCACCTCTTAAGTGGATTAGCTCATTGGCAGCACACGTTCTCCATTCTGCTCTATCC